CGGCTGTCGCGGCTGTCGCGGGTGGCTGGGAGGGCCCCGATAGCCGCCGCTTATCGCCGCTTATCGCCGCCTGTCGCCGCCTGTCGCCGCCTGTCGCCGCCCAGCCGCGCTCCGCTTCCAGGAAGCCGCGGCTGCGGAGCGCTCGACTGCCGCTGGGTGCCGAGGGCTCCGTCCCGCTCGCTGCTTCCCTTCTCCCTCCCTCCTTCCCTCCTTCCCTCCCTCTCTGCTCGCTCCCCCTCCGACCCCCCTGGTGCTGGCAGGGGGCTGGGAAGGCGCAGCTCCAGCACATGCCGAGCCGGCGGTCACGGCCCGGACCCTCTGCTGTTAATCAGGAGCATCCCAGGCTCCCTCTGGCTCGCTCCGGCTATTCCCCCGCGGGACACCCGGCCCTGCAGCCCGGTAATCCCCCGCTCCCCTCTCCCGGCTCTTACCCCTTCTGCTCAGACCTTCTCTGCCGTGCTCAGGGCCCGCCTTTGCCTCCTTCCCCATCCATTGCTCCCTCCTCCTCTGCCCTTACCCCACACTGCCTCTTCAGCATCCCTTTAAAAGTCCCCTCCTCTTGCAGCCCTCGGCCATACGCTAATCATCATCATCATCATCATCATCATCATCATCATCATCGTCGTCGTCGTCGTTCTTCCTCTCACTGCCTCCTGCCGTTCCCCATCCCGCCCTTCCATAGGTTTGCTGCTACTCGGGAGATGTAATTTGCTGTCTCTGATTCTCTGTTGACCAAAGCCTGCTCCGAGTCCTCCCTGCTGCCCCCGCTGCTGACCTCCTCCTCGCTTCTGCGGCTTTCCTTCCAGGAAAACTTCCTTCCAGGTGACGGCGGCAGGGAGAGGTGAAGCTGTCATTGGAAAGCAGGCTGGGATCTGGCTGTTCCGTGTCTCACTCCGTGCAGCCCCGCACTCACACCTCTGCTGAACCTTCTGCAAACAGCACACACAGCCCAACCCGGGCACAGCACCCGGCCTTCTGCCGTGCCTCATCCACCTTCCATCGCCCCCTGGCACTTCCCCGTGCCGACCGACTGACAGCACACGAGGGCAGACACTCCCCACGGGGAAAATGAGCTGACTGCATGGAATTCGGCCATGCCCTTACCATAACATCATTTGTCATGGTGTTTGCTCCCTCTTGGACCATGCCCCGCAGCATCCAGCACACACATCCCAAAACCCACCCCACTGCAGGAGGCTGGAACACAAAGTGAAGTTCTCGAAGCTCCAGCTGACCAGAGATCCCACACAAGAACCTCTCAGGGCAGAGCTACTGGTTTCTGTCACAGTTCTTTATGAAGTTGGTCAGGATTTCTATATTCCTGTGCACGTGTTGAAAGGAAGGTCTTGAAGGAGGCAGAGGAAGATCTCTTGCACAGCTGAACACGCTGGCAAGGAGGGAACTGACACACATCAAAGTGAGAGCAATAAGACAGAAAAACAGATGGGCAGATGGAGTTGCCTGAGCCAACAATTCAAGCACTCTGGGTTTTAATTGTATTAGGAAGAGCTGTACTGAGATACAAGCAAAAGTGGGTTTCACACCAGGTCTTCAAAATGGTTGGGACTTGGAGCACTGCAAATGGCAATGGTGGCACACCATGGGTGTCCCAGCTCGGGTACCTGGAAAACAGCATGGACATGCAAATCCATGGACTTGTACAGGTAATTACATTCATTCCAGTCATCACAACTCTACTCTTTGATTTTCCTGGGATTTGGGGGTTTATGATCACATGCACTGGAGAATCCGCCCCAGGGAATGCAACTGCAGCTGTCCTGCTGCTCTCTGGGCTTTCTGGGCTGAGGAGGAGCAGTGGCTGTGTGCCCCAGCCTCAGGCAGAGCTCCTGCAGCCCAGGACAGCGCTGCATCACTGCTGCCACTGCAGCAGCTCCCTGGCCCCAGCGCTGGCCCCGCAGCAGGCTGCGACAAGCTGAAATCAGCTGGATCTGTAGGAGGACATTTGTCACAACACCAAATCTCTGCAGGAGATCCGTGCAACCAGTTGGCCAAAAAGTCATTACTGTTAATGTAATTTCCTCCTAACCGTGAGCCTTTTAACAAAATTTAACAAAATTCACAGAGCAGCCCCTCAGCAAACACCAATGACCACGGTTCCCTCGCTCCTGGTGCAGATGTCCCCACTTACTTCAGCTGGAGAATGGTTCTATGTGTTTTTATTCCAGTTTCCTTTTTATGATCTTCATTTGCTCTGTCTTCATCTGGTGTGTTTATGTGGCTGGTGCTTGGTTTTCATTATTTTTAACTGCATTTCAGATCATTTGCTCTATGGTTTTGTTCACATTCTCCTTTTCCACGAAATTCTAATAAAACACTTGGCTACAGTTTTCCTAAATTGAACACTGATGTTTAGTGCAGCTAATTATGCAGCAGGGTTCAAAGCGAGTTCTATAATGTAACAATTTACATATTCCTGAAAACAATGGACACAAACCTACAAATTATTGCTACAAGCTAGTTTCACATTCTTCTGGAATTTCCTTTAGAAATACATATGTTTAGTATTCTCACGCATATGAAAAGCAGTAAATACTGCATTGCTGGCACCATTATAATATTTACAGTGAAAAAATAAAACACACTCTGATGTGTCTCAGACCTAAAGGGACATGAAAAAATGCCAGTATGTTTCCTCCAAGATCTCAGAGCACTTCCCAAATTCAGCCACTCAACATCCATCAGTATAAGCCAATGATACACAAAGATGATTTTGCAACAAAGCATTCACCGTGGTTGCAATGACATTACACATTTGGTGTTTCTGCATCACCAGTGTTCTGGCATAATCAGATTAATCATAACTTTATTGTTTAAGCCCTGAATAAAGTCAGTTTTGTTTGTTTTGTAAATGGACTGGATTGCAGGCAGCCAGCCCTGTGAGCAGACCAGCCCAGCCTTCTCAGGAAGATCCAGACTAAACTGACTTTTAGAAAGGCTGCTGTAAACCATAACTCTGTTTATAAAAGCAAGAGCTAATAACTCAGTAGCTGGGCCTATTACTGTGATCCTTTGCACCAGGCTGACTTGGAGAGACAATAATTCTTGCTGCTCTTAATGCAAGCAATATGTATGCCAGCATTTGCCTGTGGCTCCACCCCACCCTTTCCTCATTTGTATTTTTTTAATTTTAGGATGCTACTTACATCTTCCTAATGTGGAGTAATCTGCATAGGAGTGGATTATCTCAGTCTGCCCATATTGACCGGGCACTTTCATTGCTGTAACATGACAAACCGCAGAGCATGTTCCAGCAAACCACCCCTGCACAGAGCATTTGCTCTGAGCCCCTGAGGGGGTTATAGTGAGATTAAACTGTAAATACACATCCCCAGTTCCAATCAGATGATTATTTTCCCTTCCTTGTACATCTATCTGTGCTGGAGTTTTTAGTTTCTGGTATTATAACTCAGGAGGGAAGCTACGAGACCTGCCAACAGAAGCAAAGAGTATCTTCTAAAACTTCAACACGACTGGGACAGTGGCTAAACTTAAAGAATTCAGTATTTCCAAATGTGACATGCATGGAAATTTTGAATTACTTTTCAAGTCTCCTTGGCTTGTACTTTTGTAGCTCTACTTATGAGCATTGCACCAGTCCTATCTGGTTAATATCAGGGGCAGTTCTGCTGCGTTCATGTGTACACACCTGGGGAATCACAGGGGCTTGGCTTGTTTGTGAATAGACACGTAAAACACCGAGAGGAAAAAGCTTTAATTAATCTGATCATCTAATTACAATAAACGTTTCATATTTTCCTAGAAAAAAACCCGTTCCTTATAATGGTTTTACATTTTCTTAAAATGTTGGTAACTTCACCTTATGATTACAAATCAAAGAAATCAAATGAGTGTGCAGCATCACTGGGAACGTTGACCCATCCCTGGAAGTGTCCCAGGCCAGCTTGGATGGGGCTTGGAGCAACCTGGGGTAGTGGAAGTTGTCCATGGCAGGAGGTGGAACGGGATGAGCTTTAAGGTCCCTTCCAACCCGAGCCGTCCTGTGATTTTATGAATGACATTTTAAAGAACGAGAGTAACGTGATACAGCCATTACAAACACAGGTAAGGCTGTGGGAGCAGTTGATGTCCTGGGCAGTCCGGTGCAGTCAAGGCCGCTGTTGTACTTAATTAATAGCGTGATTAGCGGGGTAATTAGCGGGGTAATTAATGGGGTAATTAATGGGGTAATTAACGGACTTCGCTCCGGCCGCAGCGCGGGCACAGCGCCCTCTGGCGGCGGCGGCTCCCGCTGCACCCGCCGGGACGGACAGCGGCGACAGCGGCGACAATGGCGACAGCGGCGACAGCGGCGACAATGGCGACCCCGCGCCATGGAAACGGCCCATCCCCAGGGATGCTTTCCCAAGTGTCCCAGCCCCTGTGTGCCTCACAAGCTCTGAACCTGTGCGAGCACTCCTGCGTGACTCGTGTAGTCCAAGAGTAACTCGATCCCAGCAAGCAGCAGCTCGTTATTTTATAAAAGCTATCATTATTTGTGCAGCCGGACGAGGAATCATTCGCGAAATGAGTGCATTGTCCCGGTCAGACACGGGAACAGTCCTCTCCCCGCGTTCGGCACAGCGCTCGGTCTCGCAGGCGCAAACCCGCTGCAGCAGCTCTGAGAGACATAAAAAAACAGACATAAAAAACCTGTCAGCTCAGCAGAAGGGTTCCGTGCAAGGTTTCTGGAACAGCAGCTACGAAAGCGTGGGGCAGGAGGGGTTTGGCCATGAGAGCACGACAGAAAGTCCCCCAGGGAGGTGAGAATAACAGCCCGATAATGTCCCCAGCACACCTGGGGACAGGGGACAGGGGACACAGCACGGACAGCTCAGAGGGAAAGCCAGGACAGTGGAACAGGAGCTTAAAAAACATTAAAGCAGGGACTCCACACAGCGTACTTCACTTGAATTTTGAGGTCTATCAACCACCGTTAGTGTAAAAATGTTCCCTTGTGGTAAAAGGTACAAGTGCTCCTTATTCAGTGCTGGCACTCAAAATTCTCACTTATGTCACATTTACTGGGTGACAGTCACTAGCAGAGGGCAGAGTTTTCTTCACAAATAGCCAAAACATGTTTTCCAGAGAAGCTTAATACCAGAGGTTTTATTCCAAAAGGCTTATTAGGCAGAGCTTTCTATCTAAGAATATGACAAAATTAAGATCCCAATCTGTACTAAAAAAAAAGTAAAAGTAAATTTTAAAATTACATTTAAAGTAAATTTTGCGACAGTTATTCCTTTGATTTGCCCTTTTTTTCCCCAAAAAAAATTCTGGACTAGGAATACTCGGTGAGTAGTGGAAAACCAAACAAGAAATGTTCAGGAATTCCTTCATGTAAAGAAACCCTGAAGTGTTACCTATTGACCTGGACAGCCAGCAGCAGCACGGGCTCTCTGAGCAGGAGAGTTAAATCATTAAACCCCACACACGAGTGCAAGTGTGAGGTGTCAGCTGGGCTCACAACTGCCTGTTTAAACAAGGGGGAACTTCAAAGTAATTCAGAGTCATTGGACACAAATGGATTGCTAGATGAAGGGGAAGAAAAAGCTTTAAAAGCTTTTCATTATTTTAGTTAGAAACCTCAGAGAGGATAAATTAATGTATCAGTATGGGCTTTTGACTTGCTAGGAAAGTATTTTCAGAAAACTTCATGAGTTTATCACTGGATCTAGTTTATAACTGGATTTATAAAATGCCTGAAATAAACATTTTTTTGGCAGGTAGAATGGTATGAAGACAACCTTTCCCATAAAGCCAGACAAAATAAAAGTACAAAATGAAAGAACTCCCCCCCCCCAACCCCAGGAAACTATAAATATTTTATTGGAAAAGATCTCATACATGAACTTGAAAAACAATCATGTCACAGGTAAGTAAATATTGCATCAAACAACGAAAAGTTTCTGGAGGAGGAGTGGGGAAGAAAAAAAATGCTGATAGTTTTCCTGACAAGAAAGAAGAAAGCAAAGGAAGAAAGAGATCACAAAAACTCATTACTAAACCAACTATTGTTCCCCCACTACCCACCAATAAAATAAAGTTTAAGAAACTCTAACAAACAAATAAAATTTCAGAACAAGAAACAAAATTTTTATTACATGAGTGCTATTTAAATACTACTGGTTTTATATTATTATTATTATTGTTGTTGTTGTTGTTGTTATTTTTATGTTATTAATAAAGGAGATAAGTTGCCACGCACTGGGGTTCACTTGCTGAGCCTTGCTCCTGTGTTTTGTAGAGCTGTTGGTATGGAGAGTTTTCCATGGAGATAAAATATAACAAGCTCCCCTTCTCAGATTCTTCCTCTCTGATGCAGCAGATGTGAATTCACACATTCTGCCTCAGGATCAGCACTGTCAGCAGAAAGGTATGGAATGTATTTCCCAGGATTCATGGGGACCTATAAGTAGTGTTCTACAATATTATTTGTATTTAATTTGAACATCACATCTGTGAACATCAGATGCCTTCATGAAAGCACTGGTCTGTCTGCACCACTCACTCACCAAGGTGAGGGCAAAAGCAATTTGAGGTCACACTTGTCCCTAATATTCTGAAAATGGAGTATCCAAGTGCATACACTGCTGTTGAAAATACCTCTTTATAGGGAAATGTACACAAGATTAATGTATCAAAATTACAGAAGCTATCAAAAAGAAAGCCTGTAAGTACAGAATTTATTTTTTAAATAAACCAGGACCTTCTTATTGTAATTTTG